TGTTTATGTTTATGTTATGTATATGTAATGTATATATTATGTTTATGTTATGTTTATGTTTATGTTATGTATTTGTTTACCTTGGTATAATATCAACAGTAACTGATTTTGTGTTTATGTTTATGTTATGTATATGTTCTGTTTTTGTTTATCTTGGTATAATATCAACAGTGACTGGTTTTGTGATATTGTGTATGTTGTGTAATTTTTTTTTCTCGTGTTTCTCGTATGTTTGAATTTTCAAATATCAACTCTTTTTTCCTTTAGATATGAACAAACAATAGGGATTGTTTGTTGAAATACACTTTCCTTTTTTTATACCCAGTTAGCGTGATTATAGGTGATTTGTTTGACAGTAACAGATATCTTGCTTTATGACAATTAACGTCCATGTATTAGGTAAGTTTGCAAAATAATTGCTGCCCTTCGCAATATTGCAATATTTGTGTAATCGATGTGTATTTTTAAAATTTTCCCTAAACAATATAAGGAAATTTTCAAAAACAAGGTAACACAACATGACTTTTGTGGGGCTTTCAATAAGTACAGGATCACAAAAATATTTATGGAAAAATTGTAAGGCCCAACAATAATAGCCCAATAATTTCAACAACTCTTTATTTGTAAAGATCCCACATTGGGAAAACAAACAAAACAATTCAGCTATATAAGTGACTTTACTACTGCCACTATGCAAAAGTCCAGCATTTGACTGCTTGGCAGAACTAACCGCTACCCGTTTAACCACTTCAAACGGTTTTTGACCAGTTTCGGGCTCCAGCGGGTCCTTACCTCAAACAAGATCGGTAATATGGCTGGTCCCTGGTTGAACCGGTCGATACCTGCCAGTCCGGTTCGATTTTCAGAACCTTGGTTTAGAGGGTAAAGGAAGGGATCTGATAAATAATTATACCTTCTTTGGAGAAAATTTGTTAGGAGGGAGCGGAGGAGAGAAAAAATAGTTCTTTTCGTGTGAGACTGCTTGGACTTCCTTTTTCTCTATTTTCATATTGTTGGCCTTGTACTTGAACATCAATAAGAGGAGAATTAACAATTGCTCTCTTTTCACCTCTTTCTTCGGTACACTGATTTCAGCTTCTGTGGCAGAAGAATTGGATTGAATGTGTTTACCTGTTTGCTGAGATCCCATAGGCTCCGAGTTACTTGACTAGTTTACACCCGAAACAATTTGGCCATCACCAACTTACAACTACTCCATAAACTGTCCTTCTTGCAACTTATTTTAAGCTTTATCCCCCAGCCTGATGTCACAGGATCGATGTAGATGGCCTAGCTTACTGCAGTAATAGCACAAGTTCAGTAACTTTTCGTACTTGAAATTTAATTTAACCACTTAATTGCCTACCATTACATCAACACATCTTAACAAGGGCTTCTTAAAATTAACTGTCACTTGGAGCCTAATTTCTCTTCCTCCTCCCACTCCACCTACTGAACTCTTGAACATTCGTCTAATTTTGAGGCCCACCTCCACTGTCATTCAATGGAGTGGTGCATTCTACACTTGAGCCCATAGATTCACCTCCTCATACACATAGGTGATTGCTCCTTATATCTTCTTTCCATTTCTGAAGGATTAAGAATTGATTTTTAAAAGTCCAATTAGTACCTAATACCACCTTCTTTAGGTCCTCTTGTTTCTCGAAGATAAATTGGAAGAAGTTTGGCTCGAGCTCTCGAACTTCTACTGCCTTTTGGATGCGACCTATTTGCCCCATTGTTTTTTTAGACAAAAAATCATGCCTTCCTATCTTTCAAGACCTTTCCAAAAAGGCATCTCTGGCACTCCTTTTTGCTCAATTTGATACCCTCTCTGCTAATGACAACGGTCGAGTTTTCTGCCACAGAGAGCGAAAAGTGTTTTAGGCTTTCCTCCAGTTCATTTTCTCCGCCACTAGAACTTGGGGCTTTTCCAGCACTGGGCTCCATGAGCACCTAATAAAACTTTGCCCTAAAGAATTTCTCTCATTTAAGATTGAAGAAGTGAAGAATCTCATTCGAGAGAATAATATATCTCATTTTTTTAATTTTTTTTTTGCCAAACATCAAATTGTATTACCACACCTCAGAATTACAAACCGGTAATCAACAAATTACACTTGACAACATTTACTAGCCTAGACTAGAAAGAAAACCAAACGGGGGAGAACACAACAAGTGTACCTTACACGACCCTTCATGGTCAGAGAAACAAAACCCACAAAACAAACACATCTAAGAGACTAAAAAGAAACTCCACAAGAGAGACAACAAAAAACACACTCCGAAAATGAGAGAAAAACTGAAAAACACACAAGACACAAACCAAAACAAACGAAACAACACTAACGCCCAAAACAAAACACTAAAATACTACTGGAAATAGAATAAAGCCCTTCCCACTATCGACAATCTCCACCGAGCTAACCAATACAGCAACACCAGCGGCCAACCACCCACAAGCACTGAGTCACGCCTCAAGAAGCAAAACCAGAAACTGCCAAACACCTATCTAGATCTGCAGCTTACGACCCAACCCCACGTCAAGGTGGAAGACCCCGAACCCACTACTGAAGGTCCACTTCCCAATCTACCCCAACAGCACCGGCCACCTAGTCCCGAAATCAACGCGTCCCGCGACCCGAGCTCGCCGGCCATCTCCTCAATCCGGCATCAAGAAAAGAGAGACACGTGAAGAAAAGGGTCACAAACCTTTACCTCGACCACCACAAAGAGGTAGGTCGAGGTCGTAGCCCTCTACAGAAGAAGCACCAGCTCACCACCACGAAGCTACCGGGAAATCAACGAACCTCCTCCCGCCATGTCAACAGGAACGGTGAAACCCAGTCGAGGGTGACCCGCCTCCTCCACTGACGAAGATCTGCGGCTCCTGGCGGCACCTCTCAAGAAATTGAGCCAAGCGGCTTGGTGATGGCCACCGCCGCGGCAGCCCGACGAGATTCGCAGGGGTAGGAGCAGATTCAATTTTTTTTGGGGGGTTTTTGGGCGAAAGTTTTTTTTTTTTTTTTTTTTTTTTATTATTATTAGCTTTGGTTTATGTTGTTACTTGTGTATGTTTTTGAATAGCACCTCTCATTAGTTCAAACGAATACATGAGGCCAAAAACTGATATAGAGATTGGAGCAACTTCGAAGTGTTTATGAGACATGACAAATTATCCATATACAAATTACAGTTTTGCTATGGAGCCATCAGATGGCTCAATTTATGGAGCCATCCACACTTATTCACCAATAATGTATTGACACGTGTCCTACAATACACTTTGGACAGGTGTCAATACATTAAGTGCTGAATGACTCCATAAGAAAACCATCCAATGACTCTATAGAATATTTTATACAAATTATATACAAATTAGAAGCTCTTCAAATTAAGTAAATAAAGTAGAAATAAGTTGGATAAAACAGAGACTATAAAAAGGAATAAAATATAAAAATATAAAGACATATGACAATAAAAAAAGTTGGACTTCCTTTTCACCTAGCAGGTGAAAGGATGGTCAGGTTTTCTGGATATACCAAAGGAACTCTAATCTGAGTTACATGCCCATAACTGAATCCGAAAACCCACAAAGTAAAAGAGTCTGCTAAAAATTGATTATTCTCAATTATTCATAAGCCCAAATGAAGGGATCATAAAGCAGAGTCGGTCCTAGCCATTATTAAGTCCTGGGCGAAACGCGAAATTAGTGCTCCAAATATTTGTTTACTTAAAAAAATAGTTATATCTCCCTCTTACATATAAGAAAAAGTGTGAGGGGTTGTAGTGCTAACACGTGGCGTTTTTTTTTTTTGCAAACATAACTGCTCTCCATTTTCTGCTATTTTTACGACCACTGCCATTGCTTTTACACTAAAATTATTGGAGTGCCCTTGGAAGTTGAGTACCGGGAAATTTGACCCTTTTTTCCAGACTTTTGCACGTTTGCCTGTCCCTCGAGACCAAAAAATGAGTCTTATTTNTTTTTTTTTTTTTTTCATCCAACAGCTGAATCGCAATTGTGTGTTTGTGTGATTTTGATGATGCTGGATTTGTTGTCAAGCAGGTGAAAAAAAGCGAGAGCACGGATAAAATCTGCCCCTCACACGATTGGTTTTTTCCTTATGCGAATCATCTCTATTTTTATTGTTTTCAATTTTTGGTTTGTTGCTTTGAGAGATCTTTTTTCACGGGAAATCTGGGTACAGTGTTTGCTTTAAACTTTTTGCCCATTCTTATCACCTTCTGGAATTTGTCTGAGCCTTTTATTTTTCCTCTATTTTGCGCTCTTACCTCGAACACATTTTTCGTTGGCTTCTGATTTCTTTTTTAAACATCATTGTATTTTGGAGAAGGTATGCACCGGTAGTCGTCTGCTTTTGTACGACCCGATAACGGAGAGCAGTGAGGCCTCTACAACTGATGTGCGATGAAGTCATCTGCCCCACGGCGTCTACTTTCCAGCAGCTAGGGTTTTGTTAGTCGCGATGGAGCAGGGACATGAACTTTGGACGACTGATGTCGTTTCATGAAATGAGTCACGGTACTGTAAGTTGTTCTTGCCTTTTCTACCCTCAAATTGTATATGCATCGCTCAAATTTATATTTTAGGTTTATCAATTTTGAATTTTGCCAACATAGTTAGCATCCGCACCTTCAAATTGCAAATTTAATTTTCATCTAATTCGTCATATGGGGTTTATGTTATTTGTCTTGAGTCGCTTGATAGACTGAAGATTTCATGTTGGGGTCTGTGTAGGTGATGGGAGTCGGAGGACTTAAATTTTGAGCCGAAAATAGCCCCTGCTTAGTTGTACATTGATGGGAGGAGATTCTCTGGTCTTCTTTTTTTTTNGTAAAACAATGGAGTACCAAAAATCTTCCTCTAATATTGCCTTTCTACCTATTTCTTGAGGTTCTCTGTTTAATACCTTCAATGTTGCTTTCAAATTCGTGATATAATTTTTGGCTTTATCATTTCCAGGGAAAGCTGATTTATGCCTGTCGAGTATCTGATAAAGCATCGGGAAGAATTTCATCATCACAATAATTCTCGAGTAAATAATGTGAGTATTTTCTCATAGACTATTTTTTCGAAGGAAAAAATACAACTGAGTTTTTGTTCATTTTCCTACAAATACATATAGGCTGTGCATCCTATCCATGACCAGGTGTTTTGTTTGGATGAGAAGCACAAAAAACAATTGAAGGAGGAATTTAGTAATTTTGTGTCTTTTGTTCCATCTAAGGAGCTAGCTTGTAGTATTTCTACAAATAATAACATAACCCACTTATGGTTTAATTTTGTGACTTTTGCTCCATCTAAGGAGCTAGCTTGTAGTATTTCTACAGATACTTCATTTTTAACTTTTGTTTCCTTATGAAGGCACCGACACAAGCGGCGCACATGGATCCACCACGTCGATGACGTCTCCGCCCTCGCCTCAGGTTAGCTGGTCCTCTCTTCGTCTGACTTCAACCTCCATATTCCTAATTTAGCTTGGAACGTAAGCTTCGAGTTCAAAACTAAGGATTTTGTTAGTGGTGGAAATTTTGTTACTGGTCGCTTAATTTGATTGAAGTTAATGTTTATTTTTTTCGATTAACCACAAATAATTCTGAATTATATTTTTTTGTTATTCTAGATAAAATCTAAATTAGTTCAGTGGTATATAGTTACCTTACTTAAAATTGGATGAATTATAATCGTGATCTCATCTAATTTGATTGGTGTTTTGTGTGATAAGTTTTGTGTTCATGGAACTTCTTATTATGGCTGAAGCGGGTCGCGAAAACGGTGGCAGTGTGTCTACATCTGCTTTGGGCTAGGCCCGCCCCACTTTAAAGCCCTAGCCAAAGTTGTTTTTTTCTTGCACCGAAACCTATGCTTTGGGTGGGTTTTGTGGTAATATCTGCTTAACTGGATGCAACATATTCTAGGAGAGAGCTTTCGACACGTAAACCTTTAATTACATTTGCTGTCAACAGATGTCATTAGAAAGTTTGGGATTTTGTCAGTATTCATATTTAATTATATTATTAATTTGAAGTTTGATACTCGAGGCGTAGAAGTTATCGTCAATGGCAGAGATGGCTAAATTTGACGGTTGTCGACTGAGGTAACAACAATTAATGGTTTCTTTAACTTCAGGCTATCATATCAATTGTTTCATCATTTCCCTTTGTCATTTTTTGGAGACAAATCGAAACCGTTTTGGTGTTTGGGTGTAGTATATTGATTGTGAATTTAATCATGGTTTTCTACCCTTGATTATAGCTGTAGAGAAAAAAGTGAAGATTCACAGGACTTAGGAACCTTTCTATTGGTGAAGATCACAAGGTTTTGTATTTTTTTCCTTATTAAATTTAAACTCATTTTATATAAATTTTCATGCTTTAAATCTTAAGATAATGACAAAAAAGGTTCCCATTGAGGGTGCTACTGAAGTAGTTGATGGAGTAAAACTTTTTTTGACTTATCTTCAAGTGTCACGTGCTCAATGTTCAATTGTGTCAAGGAGCTTTCTTATATTTTTAGTCCAATGTTTGTATACATGGTGCATGGTAATAATATGATGAAAATTGTGACTAAATTGGGGTTGTAATTTTGAGGTGTCATGAAAACTGGATTCTTTTAAGAATTTGAAGACCCAAAGCATAGGTTCGCACATAGGGAGATATGATCCCACTTCACCCTAGAAGCATTGTACTCTGTTCTGAAAATTTGCAGGCTCTTTGCATTGTGCTCACACAACCTTATTAATTAGCAATAATACAAGTGCCTTAATTGATGTTCACAATGACAAAATTTCAGTGTTCAAGTGCCACTGAATGCTGACACCACCACATTCATGCTTAGAGTTCGTGTTGTTGACTACCTAATAGAGTTAGGAAAGAAAATTATGCCAAGTCTAAAGAAAAACAACATTGTTGAAGAGTCGGTCTGTGAGTTTCGCTCATACCACATGAAGGAATTGCTTTCAGTTTTACAATTTAGTGCAAGTTTATGTTTCTATGTTAGGTGGATTATTGTGTAATCTCTTGCTTTTGAACGCAACTTCAAGGATTTTATGGTGAACCAAACACTTTCTTTTGATGTTTTCTGTGATTATTAGATATTTCATCATGTTGTGAAATTCCTACTTTTATGATTGATTCATATGAGGTAATTTCAACCTACTTTTAGGAATGCTGCCAAATGCGTGTATGTATATCTTTGAGTAGGGTAAATATGTGTAAGGTTGGATAAATTTTAAACAACAATTTTTTTGTACAAAAAAAAAAATTATTTTATAATTATAGGCTAAACTCGAGCCGGCTGTGCGTGCACAGCCAGGTGACCACTAATATTTATATATATCAACAACCCGTTGAGGGGTATTCAGGAGCTTCTGGGCCGCCCTTGGGTTGTGGAGATTATTCATGGCTATAAAGAGGCTAATTTTGTTGCGGATTATTTGGCATCCTTGGCGGCTCCAGGTGGTCTTCATCGGTTGGAGCGCCCTCCGCTGGGGGCGGGAATCTGGTTACATCACGACATGATCGGCGTGTCTTATCCTCTGAAGATTATTCCATAGTTTGCGTAGTCCTTGCTTCCCTTTCTTGTACCAAAAAAAAAGTAGAACCTCAACACAAAATCTAGCAAGCCACAAATATATAAACTTATAAATTATGACCATCCACTCCCCGAAATTAAGGAATTTTAGGTCAATCTTAGAGTTTGGAAATAATTAAATGGGAAAAGAATACTGAGTGAACTAATTTTGGGAGTATTTTTTTTTTTTTTGGTTTTTTGTTTTTTAAATCTAATCCTGTTAAAGAGAGGAATGTAATAATACTAGGACGCCTCTGGCGAAAACCCTATCCCTAAAATCCACTCGTTGCTCCCTCCAATTTTCGGTCAAAATTGACTTCCTCAGCGATGGCGAAGCCACGGCTAGGGTTCGTCCTTGACCGCTCGGCCCACCCCTGATGTAGCGCGTCTCCGATGTTGTTGTGGATGGTCCGCGATCGGTGGTCTGGTCTTCGGTTGCTGAAGGGGTTCCGGTTGGTGGTGGCGTCCCTCAAGATCGACGTATGGACTGCGATTGGGGTCTTCCCCTCAGTCGCCGGTGGAGCTCCAATTTGTGGCAGTAATGTAATGCCCCGTTTATTTATGAATAATTACGGATTATTTGGGATTTATCTATCATTATTATTATTATTATAATTATTAATATTATTATTATTATTATCGAATGTCTAATATTATTTATTTGTCAAATTGCGATTAAATGCCTAATTGTCTAAATATTATTTATTTGCCAAATTGTAATTAAATGCCTAAATGTCTAAATGTTATTATTATTTAATTGATAAATTGTGTGTCTTATATATATAAATAATATTCGTCTTATTTTAATTTTAATCGTCGAGCCGAACAGAATTAAGATGGCTAGTCGAGCCCGCGAACCGAGCCCGGGTCTTTGCACTCAAACTCGGCGCCCAAACCCATGAGAATGACCCGATTTTCAGCCCTTGTGCAAGTGTGTGTGTGTTATCTTGTGTGGCAAGATTCGTAAACCTAATCTATTTAATTCTCTTCTATCTCTCTCGCTCAACTTAAGAAACCCGATGCCAACACGTAGCTTTTATGCTCTTGGCCGATATCTCACAGAGAAGAGAAAAATCTCTTTCTCAACCCAATCGCCATAATCACCCTCTCTCTCTTTCCGGCGAGTTTCCCCTGATCGCTAACCAGAAACTGCTCCGCCGCGAGACATAGCACCACCGCCGCGACGATGCAGACCCACTCACGCGCAGTAACCTCTGACTCAATCGCTGTCCCCGCTCGCGACCTCCGTAGCGACAGAGGCATCACTGGCGAGTTCATCCTCCACGGCGCAGCACTCCTGACCGCCGCTGCTCCTCCACGAGCCGCCGCGTGTTCCCGTTCGATCCCTCTGTTCTATTTTCGAACGATTCCCGAGAACTGTACAAGGCTCGAACACCGTCTCGTTAATCGTATATATCGTTTATGTTATGCGTTTATAAGGTGTGTTGAACGTGATTTACGAATGTATATACATAAGCCTATAAATTTTATGTGTTCGTTGTGATTCAATATGTTGATTATTATGTGTAGACGAGCTCTTCGATTTTGAGAAATCGAGTGATACCTCGTAATTCGTGATTAGGGTACTGTGACTGGAACATAAAGAGTCCGTGGCCATATGGTGAAGGCCTCGGACGAGAATCGTGTGATATGTGTCGTGTGTAAATTGTTGAACTTGTATAAATCGCTGTTTTGATACTAAATTCATTATAAATTGTATACAGCTCGGATTGAAGTGAAATGCTTTGAGTAAGGCCCTCTGATGAATGTGCAGCTCGTGTAAAAATTTCATAATTTTTCATGGCCTGTAGCTATTTTATTTAATTAAATTGATTTCTGGGCAGAAACGTGTTAAATGCATAATAAGCTGAGTTGTGCTTCAAAATATATGAAATTTGAGTATGTTGTGTCTCTGGCATGTTTACTTGTTGTATTAAATTTTTAGAATTTTTGGACTTAGTTTGCTAAGGGAAATAATTTATTTTGTTATTCTGACGAATATTGTTTTAATTATGATAAATGGATCTGATGCTGAAAAATCTTGATTTTTGGTTGAAATGTTTATTTTGTGATTTGCTTCAGTGTGTAAGAAGTTGGGATTTATTTAGGTTCATATTGGTTCAGTTCCGACGAAAATTTGAAAGCTGCAAGTTTTTGTTAGAATTTTTAAAATTCACATGTTAAATATTCAAGGCTGAAATTTTTACATGTTGTTATTCACATGCTGAGGTTCCTTGGATAAAAATTTCAAAAGCTTAGTCGTTCATTATATCAGCTGTTTAGTTTATGCTCGTTTTTCCCATAAACTTATCAGAATTTATAAAATAGTATACTTTGAGTTTGGGGCTGAAACTTGGTGGTTTATTTAAGTACAGTAAGGTGGAGTTTTGGTTAAAATTCGGTAGCCTGACCAACTTGATTTTGTGAATTACCTGCCTTATTTCGAAAATATAGTTTTTGAGTTAAAAATTGTAAATTGACTCGCATGCTATTTCTTTGTCTGTTTGATATGGTAAGTCTTTGATTGAGATTATGTGAACTCCCATGCGTATTTGGTTAAGTCTTAGTGTCGAGTCTAAGTGTTCCAACGTCCACAGGACTTCACGAACAACTTAGTCGAATCAAGTTCGACTAAGTATGATTGTGTTTTGCTTTTTAGGTCAAGATAGATGTTGATTGTAGCATCTTGACTTAATGTAGGTGTTTGACGAGCCGAGCTCGCAGCCTATACGTGCTTTTGTGATATCTCCTACTCGAGGTGGGTTTTATTTAAAATTGTCTATGCGATAAATTATTTACATTTGTTGAATTGCGTGATTAATGCATGCGTGTGAACCATGTAACACCTCGTTGTGAGTTGTATGTCCTTCGAGCGGTTCTCCCCGTCGTTGTGAGTTGTATGTCCTTCGATGATGCCTATTGATAGGCAGTCTCCCTAGCCTAATGATAGGCAAGGCCGATGTGAGCTGTATGTCCTTCGCTATTTTATTCCCATTGTTGTGAGCTGTATGTCCTTCAATGGCTAATGATAGATATGCACGTGAGTAAAAATGTTTGATTAGGAGATGTGATAATTGATTGATTCGTGTTCATGCTGCAACCATGCCTAATTGTTATTGTATATAATTTATTGCATAGTGGCGAGCACTACGATTTCCAACTGTGATCATCCCCACCTGAAATCAACGTTTCAGGTTAAGCAAGGCAGGCACGACGGCAGGATGGCGAGTGGATGGTCATAATTATGTTTAATTTTGCTTCCGCTTTATTATGAATAAGTTGACCCGGATTTGTGAACTTGAATTGCTTTGGGTTATGAACATGTTATTTCTCTTTAGACTATGACATTAAAAATGTTGGAAATTGGTTTATGTTATATGATTGGTATTGATGAACTATGTTTAGATATTCATGATGATGTGTTAATTTGAATATCATGTGGAGTTAATGATTTTGGGACAATGAGGTCCATGTGAAAGACCAGGTAATGAATTCCCGTGAGGTTTCAATTATGACATGAAACAAGCCCTATTAATGTTAATTTCGGAAAATGATTTTCGAAAATGTTAATCTGATTTTTGAATAGGCCATGGATTATTTCTTAAATCAAAGTGGGGTGTTACAAGTAAGCCCCTCCATCTTCACGTTGTCAGCGATTCTTGGACTCTACTTTTTCCGGCGAGGCTTCGCCTCTTCTGGTAGGGCCTGGGCCTTTGGTTGACGGAGATCTGTGGTGGTGTAGGGCGGAGCGTGAGTCAACGGGTGGGGTGGGATTGCGGTTGCTGCGGCGTTTCCAGTTATGGCAGTAGGGTTGAGGGACCGAATCACCCTCACCCACCTCTATTCGTCTAGTGGTGTTAGGCGGCAGGGGACATGGTTTTCTTGAGCTCGACTAGTGGTGTTAGACGGGTTCGTGTGGCGCTGGTGTGGGGGCTGGTCGTTTATCTCTCGGTTGGAGACGGGTCGATTCGGGGATTGGTTTGAGGCTCGGTTTTGGCTACTGTATAGGCAGTTGTGCAATTTCGGTAGTTGTTTCTCGGGCTTGGAATCTTTCTTGTGTCGATTGTTCACTGCTGGTTGGGCCTGTTTGTATGCTGGGGAAGGGCTAAGGTGTTATTTTTTAGTTATTTTGTTGTTCTTGTTTCATGACGTCTGTGTCCGTGTTTGTGTTTGTGTTTGTATTTGTGTTTTAGGTTTGGGCCGTTGGCCCCTATGAGCCCGAGTGTCAACTTATTATCCTGTTGGGATCGGACGCTCAGGTATTATCCTAGTGGGATCTTTTTTAGTAGTTTCTTTTTTTGTTTATGTAGTTAGTTTTAGTGTAGTTGCGAGTGTTGTTATTCTATCTTTGCTATTGTCGGGATTCTAGGCTGTCTTCTGACCTGTCCTCTCACTTTTTCAGCTGTTGGCTGTTCCATTCAGCTAGGGGCTGTGTATTCGCACATTTGTGCATTTTGATTTATAATATTATCTATATTTTTTTTTTTTTCATTACAATATTTCTTAAAATTGTTATTTCTAATATCTCCATGGATTCCTAATATCAATGTGTGGAAGTCCCTTTGAATTCCTAATATCTCTCATTTCAAACCTAGTTGTTAGTTTGAGGTTGATAGAAGGAGATCACTTGGGTGAGGGAGTTGTTGTTGCAAGAGAAAAGGTTGTGGGATATTGATCTAATTCTGCAGACATTTGACCCTTTTGTTCCTAAGAAAATCTTGCAGATCCTTCTACTCAGAAGGATCAACTGGTCTGGAATGCTCATAGGATCCTTCTACTCGAAAGCAAATCTTGCACTTTCACTGTAAAATCCTTATATGAGCCTTTTATTTTCAAACACCTGAGGCAAATAAACTTTGCAAAACCTAGCAGGAAAACCAAGCATGTGGAAAAGCTGGCATGGTTTTTTGGCCACTAAAAAGAATCTGAAGAGGAGAGGCGTGGAAGTGGATATACGTGCAAAAATTATGGAGAGGTGTCAGA